GCAAAATTCAAAATTTCCTACCAACTGAAAATATTAGGTGTGTCCCGCGCGCTCATATGACCTTATGCAGTTGCGAGCGCCGTAAAACACTTTACAAAAACAAACAAACACACACACACACACACACACACACACACACACAATTGTGTGTTGGGGATTTTTCAATTTTTTTCTTAGGAAAGCATATGACTTGCGTGGTTGGAAGGCCCAGATGTCTTCAGTCTAACATATCTATTATGTCCAAATTGGAATTTAAACCCAACAAATAATGAACGTAGTTAAGCAAAAGGACTCGACACCGTGAGATTGTTGGTTCTTCGGTTCGTGAGTTTGAGGCTCAGCTCGTTCCGACGTTGCGTCCCTTTGTGTAGCCACTTCGCTGTGCATGCAGATTTGATTAACCCTCTAGCGTCCATAATAAGTAATTTCCACATTGATGTTATAAAGGTCTCAATATATATAAATCAAACATCTGAAGTTCGTTAAGTAATTGAATAGTATTTGAGCACCCCCCCCCCCCCCCCCCCCCCCCCCCTTTCCTGCAAGTTAAAAGTTAAAAACAAACACTTTAATCGCAAAGAAAAATCATATTATCCTGGGGTTCAGACCGAGGTTAAAAGGTTTAGAGTTTATTAAGCTCATAACATTTTACCTTGGTTCAAAACTGAACCTCATGAAACATTTTTTGTTTTTATTTTTAATTTGTTTCTTTTTATTTAGATCCAGTTTTGAACCACCAACGTTAATGGGTCAACTCTTTAAACCCTGAGTTTTTTTCCACCGTTTTCATTAGTTTTTTTCTACATTCACCTGAACCTGGTGCACGATGTCTCATTATAACCCCAAAAGCTTCCCTCCAACTTCTAAATGACGGAAATAATGCTTAGTCGTTACTAAAATAAAAAATCTTGGTTCGGGAATAGTTCCGAAAAACAAGCAAAAACTCGAATCTAGTTCTGAATAAAACGGAAATGTTGTCACTAGTATCGTACGCTCGGCCAGCGTCCAGTGAGGTTTAAAGAGTTAAGAGATTAACTAGAAGATTTATAACATTTCAACAACGACAAAACCCATCGTACATCCGCGTAGCCAGTGTAGAAAGCCAGACAGACGGTGTCGAGCATGAAGACCCGCTCCTGGTAGTTGTTGGAGGAGAAGAAGGTGCTCTTGTTCTGTGACCTCTTCAGCATGCTGGACACCTTGACCAGGCTGGTGCCTTTATGCTGGCTCTGACTGACCACCGACTGGTTCAGGCTGTTGTTCATCTCTGCACCGCAGAACTTCATCTCTGGAATACATTAATTAAGTGAGACTATTGTCAGAGTAGGCATAGATGTGCATTGCTCTTTAGAGTATGTATCTATATTTATGTGTCTATATTTGATTACAAGACCTTTAGAGCTATATAGATAGAGTATGTGTCTATATTTGAAATTCCTGCATGTGGTTAAATGATGAGTCTGATGTGATATGTACATTTTGTCAGCTTTACTTCTCTTTTCATATTGAAATTTAATGAGAGTTATATATATATTTTTTAATGTGTATGTATACCTGCATGTGTTTTTATGATCCTGTACAGCCAATAAAAATTCCCCTCTGTGGTAATAAAATATTATCTTATCTTATCTTATCTTAAATCAGGCGCTCGTCAAAATAATGAAATCGAAGAAAACAGACTTTTTTTGCCATTTTTTGTTGTTGCAGTTTTTGTCGAATTTTTGTTTCCTGGCTAAACACCCTTTGTGTCTATGTAAAAACACATTTGTGTCTGGATTTTATTGAAAAGCGTTGATTAAAGTGTATAGGCACTAAAAATGTAAATATTTGTTTCTTAAGGACTCTCAAGTTACGGAAATTACCTAGCTTTGGCGACCATTCACTCGATAAATTTACCTCCGAAATCAGGTGACCCCCACTTTCTTCAATCTGAAATATCTCGACTTCTATTCAAGATACATAGGTATTGTTTCATCGAATACAAGAGAAATAAATTGGATTTAAGATGATACCATTAACTCAGCATGCCCCAAAATAGACGAGCGCTTTATTCCACCGTGTTGAGATATACGTTTTGAATTGTACGTGTTTTTTCGCCCCCATCAAGACAATTTAGATCCTTTAAGGGCGAGAAAGACAGTGATGATGATGACGAAAATAAGGTGACACGTCTTTTAAGCGGGTGTGTACTTGAGCAAGACACGATCACCATAACTTTAAAAAAAGGTGCTGCACTTTGAAGACAAAAAATGGCGTATTTGTAATGGATAATCCTCTGTATTTTTCAGTGTGTGTATGATATACTTCAGTACGCTATTTATGCATTGATCAATATAAGTGGAATTTTAAGCTGTAGAGCATGAATATGCCCTGTATAAATGCAATCATCATTATCATTATCATCATCATCATTATCATCAGCATCATCAGCATCAGCATCATAAGTAGCAGCTGCAGTAGCAGCACGATCATCATCATTATCTTCATCTTCTTTTTTTTTTATTATGAATACTATTATTATCATTATTTTTTAAAATTAAGAAACTAACCCACACACCCATCCCCCCTGTACACTCACCAGGCATGACAACGACCCTCC